CCTTGGAATATTAGTGTTTGAGCCTTTTATATTTTCTTGCTCTGTCCTGGACATTGAGCTCTACCTGGATTCTAATCTTTTGAAATTTATACATATATATATATATATATATATATATATATATATATATATTGACCACTATCTATCTACTCTCTCTCTCTCTCTCTCTCTCTCTCTCTCTATATATATATATATATATATATATATAGAGAGAGAGAGAGAGAGAGAGATATATATATATATATATATATATATATATATATATATATATATATATATATATATATATATATATATATATATATATATATATATATATATAGAGAGAGAGAGAGAGAGAGAGAGAGAGAGATAATATTATTAGTGGCCATATATATATATATATATATATATATATATATATATTTCCAAGAGGGAATCTTCCTATATACATCGGCATTGTAAATTAGCTAGACTTTATATTTGGATTGTATAATCATTTATTGTGTCTAATATTACTAGAAATGTATCGATACTGGTCTTTTTAACTGGGGTCAACCAATCGGTAGTCGATTTATGCAGCCTAATAATAACACTCATATTTATCTGCGTCTCACTCATTTAAACGGTTCTTTAACTTCTCTCTTTCTCTCTTTTAAATTTTCTTCCTCAATCTTACCCTTGGCCCCTTCCTGTTCTTCTATTTCCGTTACACCTCTCTCTAGAGATTTCATATATTTCCCTCTCACCCCTGTTTCCCACTACCACAAATACACTTTGACTGAAATTTCTTTTCTTTTTTTTTTCTTTTTAAAAAAAAAACCCAGAGATATATTTTCCGTTTTCATTTTGAATTTGTAGGTTTGATGAATTAGATCGTGATTACGATTTCAATGTAATAAATTATAACCATGGAATATTAGTGTTTGAACCTTTTTTTATATTATATTATATATATATATATATATATATATATATATATGTTATGAAATAGACAAAGTCCGACAATTATTTTAAGACATTTTTATGTTTATACATTCTTTTTATAGATACAAATATTTAACTAAATGCTCTGTTTATAATAAACAGTATTAAACAACATTTAGCAGCCTGAATGTCCGAAAAATTTTCACAGAAAATATTTGTCCTCCGACAGGATTCGAACCTGTATCCTATACGGAACCGATAAATGACGGTTTCGTATAGGATACATTCAGGCCGGTAAATGTCGTTTAATACTGTTTATTATAAACAGAGGATTTACTTAAATATTTGTATCTATAAAAAGAATGTATAAACATAAAAATGTCTTAATATATATATATATATATATCACATATTGTGCTGCTACTAATAAAACAGTGCTCAATCTAATATGACAGAGCTATTAAGTATATATTAATAAATATACATATTATCCTTCGCCGGTAGCATGACACGGAGTTTCATGCCCAATGCAATCTTCAGGTGCTGAGTATAGACTGACCGTTACGTAACTTTAAATAAAAATATCTGGTGAACGCAGTGTTGGCGCAGTCCATATATTATACGAGAATTACAGTTTTGTTTTTATTTTAAAAATATATTTTGCCATTAAAATTAACGTATCGACTTGAGCTACGTTTGAAAGTCTACTACAAAAATGGGGGATCTATTCATCATTTCCTTATAACAGAAAGTGAACCCCCACTTAATGTTCACTAGTTTGCTAATCAAGCATGCAAATTACAAATTGGAGATACCAAAATCAAGCAAGTTCAAAAATTTTAATATCTAGGAAGTGTTTCAACAGGGGTTGTAAAGTGTAACATCGAAATTCGAAAGCGTGACACCGAAATCTGAAGGTGCATTGGGATAGCGAAAGATGCCTTCCAAAAGCTAAGCAAAGTATTAAGAAACAGGAAGATTTCGTCAGAAACAAAGGAAAGAGTACTTAACTGTTATGTGCTATCAGTCCTCCTATATGTCAGTTAATGTTAGACAATCTCCTCACAGATAAAGAGACTTGAGGCAACAAAAATATGGTTCTACAGAAGGATGCTGAGAATACCAGAGTAAATGGAAACAAAAATGACTCTTATACTTAACGTCAGAAGGAGATATCAACCAGGCTCGATATTGCTTAACTGGTGATCGTACGAGAACCTGTGATTCAACGTGATATTACCGTAAGCCACTGTCATGAAGCGGGGAATTTTAGAGAGATTGGAGCCATAAAGGATAGGACGCTGTGGAGAGTTATGAACAAAGAAAACGTATAATTTCACTTTCATATGTTTAGGTTTTATTACAATTCTAAGCATCGCTATTTAAAACAATAAACATTGCTGAGGAGTGATGGTAGTTAAAATAATAGCAATGTCAAGGGAAAAACTCTCCTTTTGACACTCCGATGGGAACAAAGTCCATGTTTGCCTAAGTTATTAATTTATGAATATTTTAAGTTGTGGTTGGTCATAGTTTGAAATATCTCGAGATGTCTCGGCGTCAAATGGATACAGTAACAATATAGTACATAGAAAACCTTTTCAAAGATGCCATGTTCTAGAAATTACCCTTCTCCTTGAATCTAAAGGCCGCCCTCTATATAAGATATGGCTAAAGTCCAAGAAATAATCTCTTAACGTTCTTTTATATCAGATTTTGTTTATAAAACAATAATCTCGCTTGAAGCGTTTTTATGTGGGTCAGTGTCGAATTCTCCCGTCTTTTCTCCTGAAACCCGACACGTTGAGTGGGTTAGCGAAAGTATTTTGTTACTTAAATCTTGTCGGTCATCCGTCAACGTCGAAGACAGATTCATTTTTAATTAGAGTTGAATTATTTAACGAAGGCAAAATAAATGCTTCAGCTCCTGGAATAAGAGAAGTGTGTTTCTTGTTTCACAGTAATTTACGTAATCGTTAACCGCACAGTCATGCAATTATCTTGTCCTACTCAACAGATATTTGTCTTCTGCGAATGCCATTGAGATTACCTTCAGAACAGCATCGAATTTTGTGTGCGGGAGTTTTATCTGTTAGTAAGCTCATAAAAAAATCTACTTTTAAAAAAGACTGTCACGTAAGAGGACGTGCCTCTTCAGTTTTTGAGGGAATTCTGTAAACAGAATTCGGCAACAAAACAAGGTTTTAATTCGCTATAGGAATTACTGACGATATTCAGTCACCCCCCCACGAGGGTGCCATATGGCACAAGGCCTTTTTAGCGTGGGCATTCCGAGCCCGTGGGCTCGGCCAAAAATATGCCCATTAAACCCGTATAAACGGGTTCAGGGCCGGTCTACCTCCCCGAAGGAGACTCCGCCCTTCGGTGTAGCCTCCTTCGGGTTCCTCCCGTCCGTAGGAAGAGAGTACAACCGAACAGTCGGTTCAGAGTTGAACGACTGACTCTATTGATATAGGAATTACTCACATTCGCTAATCTTAATCATAGATCCTGCAATGGATTATGCGTAAATAATTTTTTATCATTATCCGAAATTCTAAAATCCGAAAAAGCACAAATGGAAATTTTCCGAAAGCACTGTGAATGTTCCTAGGTGATGTGTAGCTGTTGTAAGTGACGTCATCTGCCCTGGGTGGGAGTTCCCCAGCCCAGGTATGTAACCTATGTTGGCGCCAGTTTTTTGTTAGCGATCGTCAAAGCAACACCTTCGTTCGTGGATTACTTACCAAGTGTTTCGTGCTCAGTAAAGATATTATTCAAAATGTCAAAAAGTCCTGCATTTATATGTATTTTATAAGTAGTGATCGTGTTTTTGTACACGTACAGAAAGTAGAAAACATTATTTTTACAGGAAATCTTAATTTCACCACTTAAAAATCCGTGTGTACATTACATGAATAGTGTATTACCTGTATCTGTATGTACACAAAATTTATTCAATTTTATATAAAACTATTTTCAGGGTATATGTTATTTATATAAAACTACCGTTAGCCTACGTGTATAAGCTGGGTTATGCAATATAAAGGGATATCGTGTTTATGTTTGGGTCCCATTCGTAAGCTGACCCAGTTTATAGATTCTATATAAAAATTAAATAGCCTGTATTCCAAAATTCGGAAAAAAATGAAAACCAAAGTACTTCCTGTTCCAAGAATTTCGGATAAATGATTCTTAACTTGTACTAATTTTCAGTAGTATTTTTTTTTTCATTCAAATTTTGTTGCTTTTTTATCACATCTTTCCAACATGATCCCTCTTTTTTTAGCAGTTATAATAAACATGGGACCGGAATGTAGAATCATTTAACAAGTCTCTTACTTTAAACAACACAAATTTGATTAAAACCATTAAGAATACCTTCTCTATTATTCTTTCTCATTTTCAATAAACCGTTCTTATAGCAATAAGTGTTCTCTATGGTGCATTCGAAATTTTCAAATATTGTTTACAGGATTATAAATTAATCCTATGGATCTATCCAAATGGTCGCTATTTCTAGTCTATCCTCTGGCCTTGGGCTTTGTTAATCGGCATATCAAAACTTATTCGTTGTCTACGTTAATGAATTAATGGCCTTTTTTTAAAAAAGTTCTTTTAAAGTATATTATACTAGGGGGTCTCCACTAACTTGCCGAAAAATGGTATAGCTTTAGTTTAAAGCATTCACTACAAGCTTGGATACTTGAAGCTTTTTCTTTATGTGTCGTGTACCTTCAGGGCGTAGGCTCTCCACAATTTCCCGTTCTTCGTAGCTCTTAATAAATGTTGTCTTTTTTTATTTCTTCTAATCCTTGTTCCACTATCCATTTACAAAGTGTTATGTGTTGTTTACCCAGAGGTAGTTTACGCTTTGTTTCCCTCCATCCATATTGCCTTCAATCTGTCCTGTGAGTATCAAATTTCCTAAAACCTCTTTCCTCATTATGTGCCCTAGACATTTTAACTGTGTTTGTACATTTTTCATCATGGTATACATTTTTTTTTTTTTTTAAATCTTTTGAGGTACTTACTTAAACTGAACCTTGTTTCGTTGTGAAAGCTTCCGTGGGAAAGATTTTTAATAAACGCAATTAAACAAAGAAAAGCTCCAGACGCAAGTGTAACGTGCCACGTTTCGGACCAGGGCTTGCGAATAGGGCATATCGGCATACTGTCAGACTGCGAATAAGTGACGAAGTACTGGAATGAATACAATATAATGGTAATTATTTACACTATTTACATCGTTCGGACTGTTGTCCTTATCTTTATTGCTATATCCACGACATTTCGGTCGTTGTACGCTCCGACCTTCTTTAAGTGATATACGTTGGAATTTCGTACCTAAATCTTTATTTCGTCCACAGGGGTAGATTTACTTTTAAATCTGAAAAGATTCAAGTCTCGTGTTAGTCATCACATGTTGGCATTTAAATCGCAACTGTTATTTCATTACAATGTCTACTCACTAAATCTAATGTTTATAACAATAATCAATAAATAAACGTGTTGAAATATTTATGTAATTTAATCCTCGCCAATTATTTTTGGAAAAATTTTTAATTTTCAAATATTTTTTTTAATATGTCAGGTCATCCCATAAGTTCTGTCCGAATTTTAACTTTTTGTTAAAATGAACGAAATTTAAAGAGTATTTTATAATGTCTAATAGAGCTGAACATTATTTTTTAGGTTTAGATGCATTTAAACTGATCAAATTTTATTTCAGAGAACAAAATTAAATTTTGTTTGATTAAAACCCTGCTAACATGGAAATACCCAAGAATCATTTGGGGCACATAATGCTTTATGAGTTCAAAAAAGGAAACTCAGCAGCCGAAGCTGCTAGAAACATTCACTCAGTTTATGGAGAGGAACGTGTGAATAAAAGAACTTGCAGAAAATGGTTTGCAAAATTCAGAGGTGGAGATTTCACCCTTGAAGATGAAAATCGAACCGGACGTCCAGTTGAGTTTGCTGAAAAGCTTCTTGAAGCGGCCCTTGAAGAAAATCCTGCTTTATCAGTTCAGGAATTGGCAGTGGTTCTCAGTTCAAACCATACAACTGTTCATCGTCATCTTCAACAACTTGGAAAAGTTCCTAAACTTGGAAAATGGCTGCCTCATGTATTGTCTGAAAACAACCTCAAATCCCGAGTTGACATCTGCTCTTCTCTCTATTCTCGCCAACTTGTTTCACCTTTTTTGGATAGACTTGTGACGGGCACGAAAAATGGATCTTTTATCGAAATATTAAGCGTCATAGACAGTGGCTTGGTAAAGGAGAAGGACCCCAACCACAGCCGAGAAGGGAACTTCATGGGCAAAAGGTCCTTCTTTCAATCTGGTGGGATCGCCAAGGAATAATCCACTTTGAATTCTTACCACCTAATGCAACAATTAATACTCTAATATACTGTCAGCAATTAGAGCGTTTGAACCAAGCTTTGAGGAAAAAAATACCTGCTCTAGTGAATCGAAAAGAGGTGATGTTTCATCAGGACAATGCACGACCCCACACAGCAAGAATCACGTCACAAAAGATCGAAGAACTTGGTTGGGAGAAAATTCCTCATCCACCTTATTCTCCCGAGCTTGCTCCTTCAGACTACCATTTGTTTCGTAGCTTACAGAATAATTTGAAAGAAACAGCTTTTGTAACACAGGAAGAGATTTAAAATGACATTTATGAGTTCTTCGAATCAAAGCCAATAAGAATTTTACAGTAATGGAATTAGTAAGCTTGTTAATAGATAGAAGGAAGTCATAGATAATCAGGGGAAATACATTGTTGATTGAATCTGTAATTAAATGTAACATTTGTTCACTTGTTTTCTTTATTCAAAATTCGGACAGCACTTATGGGATGACCTGTAACTAAGAAACTGAGGTACCTTGAATTACCCGAGCGGTGGCTAATACCTCTACCAGATGGATGAGTTGAAAACTGTACTCGTTTCAAGCTCAGAAAGACATAAAAAGAATCAATGTCAGCGCATAAACACGTCTGGTTGTTGAACGTTATGTACGTATTTATTCGTCAGTGTCTGAAAAAGACACTTTTGGTATAAACGTATATACACGTCTCCGCCGGGGAAGGGGGTTAACTGCATATGAAATACCTTAAAATATACATCTGGACATAACGTACAAAGTTGGGTAAACATTCACTAGTTATATCTTTTTATATGTGCCGTGTTCCTTCAGGTCGTTGGCGATCCTGGCTCTCTACAATTCCTTTCCTTTGTAACTCATAATAAATGTTGTATTTAGGTTATACAGGAATAAAGTGTCACTTGAGTTTGAACATAGATCGCCAGTGAACAAACACAGGCGATCCCATTATTGAATTAAGTAGACCACGTGACCACAGAGGAAAAGCATAAGTAGGAAGTAGCATGACGTCCAAATGATCGCTATTTCTAGTCTATCATCTATATTATACAAATCTGCATTTCTAGTCTGGCCTCTATGCTATACGGATCACCATTTCTACTCTATCCTCTATTACTATACGGACCTCTATTCTCTACTCTATTTGCTATACTATTTCTCTATACGGATTACTATTCTAGCGTGTATTATCGAGCAAGTACTATGAGTGCGAGTGATATTCGAAGGTGTCTGACACCAGCATTGCTTAACGACATACTATAATTGTATTCGTTGGCATTACAAAAGTGCAAACCAAGTGTTTGTTGGCATCACAAAAATTTGTTATTTCTCCTAAACCCTGTTCAGCTATTCATTTATTCAAACTCACTAAGCATGTTTTGCGTTGTTTTCCTCTGTCCCTCTTGCCTTCAATCTGCCCTGTGAGTATTCCAAGCTCTTTTCTCATTATCAGCCCTACAAATTTAAACTGTGATTGTCCAGCAATCACTACCATGCTAACAATCATAATTTTGCTACTTCCCCTCACAAATCTCACAAGCAGCAACTCATGTTTCCTCAACTAAAAAAAATGGAAAATCCTCACAGATACAAGACTGCTGTTATTAAAAAATATATATATATGGTTTATCTGGTCAAAATAACCTCATCTTCAGACAGATTATTTTATAAAGAACTAACAGAGCTAACCCGCGTTTCCCGGGATTTAAAAAGTTAAAAATAAATCTATAACAACAATACTACTTCAAATTCATTTATTCAATACTGCTTCAAATTCATTTATTCAAACACAAAAATATTTTTAAACAGTTTTTACGTTACAATACTTTTTGGTAGACAATATTCTTTGTAGAGCAAAACAAATTGTTTTTTTTTCTTTCTATGCGTGAGCAACCAACATACAACTGCCCATGCACAGGATTCTTCTAACTGTAGTCCAGTAACTGAGTCAGGCCTTGGGCTTTGTTAATAGGCATATCAAAACTTAATCGTTGGCCATCTTTATGAATTAATGGCCTTTTTTTTTTAAAGTTTTTGTTCAAGAGTATATTATACTAGGGGTCTCCACTAATTTTCAGAAAAATGGTATGCCTATAGTATAAAATTAACTTAAAAAAATGAAAAAAATCGTTCTTGAAGATTTATTTTTAGCTTTAATTCAAAGGTAAAGGAATAAATTTACCATACCCAGTAAGCAAAATACTTTGATGCATTTAAAAACAAATTTATATTGATTGGAATAAACTTTTTTCTTTTTTTTTTTGTTTTCAGTAAAATCCATGATATTTGCCATTTTGAGGCATTTGTAAACAAAAGTTAAATTCTTCGTCTTGTAAAAATAAAATATACATGTTTCAAAAGTTATTTGAGTAAAATTAGAAAATTTAAAGTTTATTTAATCTAATTTGAAACAAACAGTACTTATTTTTAGCAGAAAAAATACGTAATAGAAAAATAACTATGTTGACTCGTTAGTCAGGTGTTGAGTGATGGTATCAGATGGATGAACAGTAGTGACAAATTTTATAGATTTTAAGTGAACCTATAAGTACCCAGTAATTTTTACAAATTAACAAATATTTTACGCAATCTAATATTTTATTAATTATTAAGTACTTAGGTTTCAATATGCTTTCCGGAAAAATAATAATAAAATTTAAAATACTATAACAATAAAATAAATTTTACATTTTATAACTAAGAAATTATAAAATTTAATATAGTATAAAATTTCATAAATAAGAAAGGGACCTATAATTATACGTACATTTCTTACGAAATTTTATGGTATTTTATTTATTATTAATTTTTATATTGCCTCATGAAATTTTAAGCACCTCTTAAAACACGTAACTTTTTAATGATAATGTCATGTATGAACTTCCGTATATATAAAAATGGCACGTTTATGCAGATCCAGAAACAATGTAAAATTCTTTTTTAAAAAAATATACTGGTCGTTTGAAGATTGGAATAAGCATTTAAATTTATAGTAAGAATTGTTTTACTTAATAGCAATACATTAAAACTGAATTTAAAAAAATTTAACAACTTTATAAATTATTGTAATTGTTATGGTCCAAGGTTAGGACCATGGAAAACAACACGAAACACAACAGTAGAAATAACAAAGAATATATTGCACGAAAAATAATACAAGTGGAAGGTGTTAGTATGGCTGTCAGACTGGTTTGGAGTGAACTACTATAAGCTCGACTCGATTCAATACCGTCTCAATACCGTTCGTCTCTCTTGAGAGGCGTAGTAATATACTAGCGTTAGGAAGAGTTCATTCTGTCGTTGTAGGTAGGGAACATGATAGTAATTAAATTTTTTTATTTTTCATCCGATTTTTTTTTGCTTCAGATAATATTATCATTAACATATATTATTCATAAAATCAATTGAAATTTTCTAATTTAATAATGTCTTAATTTTATTAGAGTTTTTATTTTACAATTCAGAGCTGATTTTCGGTAACATGTCGTTCGATTTTAGGTTGTTTGTTTTTATTATTGTTTTTGTTTTTATTGTTTTTTTATTTTTTTTTATTTGTGTTTTATTTGATTTTTCTTATTCTTTATCCTTTATTAATTTGTTTTATTTATTATAATTTTTTTAATTAATTTTTATCCCCCGCTCAGACAAAAACAGGGCGTGGATTTTATTGAAATTTAGTGTTTACTGTTCTCCACCCATTTTTCTATATAAAAAGACGTGCTCTCGGTCGCTGTACAAACAAACATACGTACAGACAGACATACAGACACAATCTTTTTTATGTATATAAGTTAAGCAACATTAAACTAACATTTATCATTATTTACACTATTTATATTGTTCCTACTGTTGTCCTTATTTTTATTGCCATATTCAAAACATTTCGGCCGTTGTGCGCTCCAGCCTTCTTCAGGTAATACTAGTTGGAATTTCAAACAGTAATTTTATTTAGTCCACGAGGGTGGGGATTCTTCTAATTCCACGTGCCATGCCTTTTCTGGGTGTCTCAATTTCAGTTAATTCCGTCCCCACCCAACTTGGTAACTTAACTCTCTATGTTTTTGTTCCCTCTGCTGTGTCCGGGTGTTGAAATCACAACTCTTTGGGTCAAGTCACTTTTGGACAACTCAACCAACGATTTTATCAACTGGGCCATGTAATATCACCTGAAGAAGGCCGGAGCGTACAACGGCTGAAACGTCGTGAATATAGGAACGAAGATGAGGATAACAGTCCGAACAATGTAAATAATTTTAATACCTCATCTCAGAAATATAGACAAGCCTTTCTCAGCAATAACTTCCCTAACCATGTCGTTGATGAACAAAAAAATTAGCCTTCCCAGAATTTAAAAAAATAACACACAAACAAAAATAAACATACCCTTAACTTATTCTAACGTAACCAGATGCACCCTAATTATAAACAGGATGAAAAAGCAATTGAAAACATAATCTGCAGATGCATATCACTTAACGATACTATCAAACACCTTCGCTTTATCATTTATTATTAAAAAAAAAAACTTCAAAACATCTAACCTAACTATTACCAGCAATATGGTACCTCAAGAATCCTCCCACTTTCGCTCTATGTAAAAAATATTTTTTTATGAATTCTCATGCCCTCTGTCAGATCGCATTTCCAATAACAACAATAAAAAAGACATTAAATTCATACATCGGCTACACATGTTGCATATTCTCTCGTAGGTTAACTTGTCACCTATCGAAACTCAGTACAATTCAACAACTATCAACATACGACAAATATAAAAAAGTCAATGATAAAAACATAGAAGCTATCATTTTACAATATAAAAAAAACACATTAAACACATTAAATAAAATATCTTTCACGACACTAGACGGAATCTAGTATAAAATGTCTAATATATGTATAAAAAAAACGAATAGAAGAATTCGTTTTGATGTAGCCTTGCTCTCCTTAACAATTACACGTGAAGTTACTGGGGACTATTTTATTCTTTCAGTTTTCTAAAGAATACTTAGATGTTACCGACGGAATCTTGCCGACAACACGGACACCATGTGGGTTCTTGAAAATGACAGTGACACTGGAAAATACTTGAACAAAACAACAAACATGAACTTCGGGCCGTTTATCCACAATTTTGATCCAAATATACAACACCTTATTCTAAAATTTGAAAAGTACAATAAAAAATTCAACAGATATAATAATAATAATAATAATATATAATAATATATAATATATATATATATATATATATATATATATATATATATATATATATATTAAAAGAAGTAATAATTCAAAGAATAAATCAATATAGTTAATATAATTAATGGCGAATTTATTTCGCTAACAAATCAAATAAGGCATTAACTCTCTGACCACTCGTTGAACGACGCGATCCTTGTTTTTATTAATTGTAAAATGGATTTTACCCGAATTTACCAGAAATTGAGAAAATAATAACATCTATGCCTGAGGATGGTATATGGTTACCGAAAGTCCTTGCAATATGGACCGAACATCTAATGTACAATAATTTTAGAATTAATAAAAAACATATGGTTTGATTCTAGTTTGAAGGCTTTGTGCAGTGCCAACCACACTTTTTTGGAGCGCCGGATACAGAGACCTTGTGCAGCGTGTGTCACAAATGTCCCCAACAGACCTTCCTCAGGTTTTGAATTCAGAGTTATCTTTCTCCTAGACCAGTTGCCATCCAAGGCTATAGAATAGAACCCAGTCTGTCCAGCTATTTACCCATAACTGGGATATATATATATTGTTATGGGACTTTACCCATAATAACATAATGGACTATTCCATACGTAATAAATACTGCGCCTCAAGAGGAAGCAGAGAGTTCAGTCTGAAGTCGGGTGACCGGCTAACCGGGTGATCGGTTGAACTCTCTGCCTTCGGACAGGGAGGAACCCGAACGAGGCTACGCCGAAGGGCGGAGTCTCTTTCGGGGAGGTAAACCAACCCTGAAATCGTTTATACGGGTTCAAAGGGCATATCGGAGATCCCACGTTAAACCGACCTTGTGCCACATGATGCCCTCGTTGGGGGGTGACTAAATACTGTTCAGTCTGAAGTGAGGTCCGTCAGAGGAGTCAGTCAGAGCGAGCGAGTCAGTGAGTCGAGTCAGAGGCAGTCCGAAACAGAGTCGTGTTCAGACTACTAAACCTGATTGTTCGTACTAACACTTTCTACTTCTCTGTATATATTCCTGTTTGTAATATATCTGTGTTATTCCATATCCGTGTTCGAGTTCTTCTTTATTGGTTCTACCTTGGACTATCACCGTGGTACAAGGAATCGGACTATAACATATATATATATATATATATATATATATATATATATATATATATATATATATATATATATATATATATCGTCCCCGACGTTCTTCATTCTTTTAAGATGCTGATTCATCTTTATGAATTGAGTCACTGGATTACTCTATACTGCCGAACCAGGAGATTGAATTCAGCACTTTAGAGGAATTGAAAGAGATGATTTTTTGCTTGGAAATTAGATGCCATACGAACATTCTTCATTCAGCGGGTGAAGCAGATATCAACGGCATCTGGTAGACGATAATTAGAGAAAAACAGATAATTTAAAATCCCAGAACTACTACCTGAGTGTCTTATGGGACATGGATCAGTGGTTAAAAGTTCTACTAACCAGCAACATAGTGAAATCTTCACAAGTTCACACACACACAGATATATATATATATATATATATATATATATATATATATATATATATATATATATATATCGATTTAATATCGGTTTATTATTATTATTATATATGAAACAATTTTTACTAGGTTCTTGCTTTTTGTCCTGCGAAATTGGGCCGAAATGCTGATTTAACCAAGAAATTGGAATAAAAGAATAGATTAATAATGAGGGGAAGGAGATAGATAGATAGATAGATAGATAGATAGATAGATAGATAGATAGATAGATAATGATCAGAATGAGAATAGATAGATGAATATACTGAGATAGATAGATAGATAGATAAATAGATAGATAGATAGATAGATAATGATCAGAATGAGAATAGATAGATGAATATACTGAGATAGATAGATAGATAAATAGATAGATAGATAATGATCAGAATGAGAATAGATAGATGAATATACTGAGATAGATAGATAGATAGATAGATAGATAGATAGATAGATAGATAGCAAAATGAGAGTTTGTAGATAGATAGATAGATAGATAGATAATGAACAGAATGTGAATAGATAGAAAATTAGCAGAATGAGAGTTCATAGATAGATATAGATAGATAGATAGATAGATAGATAGATAGATAGATAGATATCAATAGATATCAATAACCACATTTACAAGAAATACTACATTAAGTTAGGGTTTATTAACATGTCACCATGTTTGATACAATATTCGCAAAACAATTAAATCTAAATATGATTATGGGTACAGAACATGTACAAGTTGCAGATACAACAAAGAAAGCAAAAACATAATGCAAGTATCAAGCCACACACACACACAAACAAAAATGCACATCCTACTTATATAATAGAAGTGAACACAATACATGTATGTATTAGTTTAATGTAAGTATTAAGTATGAAGTGGTAAAAAATAATATTGTTATTACACACGGACTATTAACACCAACAATCAATGTGCTATAATCAATGAAATCAAATGACTATTTCGTCTTCGGGATTGTAATTCAGTTATATGCTTTATAATAAAACTTATTATTATATATAAGCTTGAAGTCCTTCACGTTACAAAGCAAATCAAAAATGATTTCAAAAACGATGGAACAGTTCTAAAAAAACAGTTCGATAATAAATCCTTTCCTTACTTGATCAAAAGATTCTCATATCCTCGTCCAAGCTTGAAGTCTTCCATGTTACAAAGTAAATTCAGGTTTGTATTTCCAGTAGACAGTATGTAAGCAAATATATGGATATAGATCCGACAGTATGAAGAAAAATACAGAAAAAACAAACAAAAATCTTAATATGCAATTATGCTGTATTAATGTTCAAGCTTGTATGAAGATATATGAACCTATTGATCTCTGCGTGTTCCTATATCAACGGAAGGGATTTCTTGAACTGTTTATATAAAATAGTTCAATCGACTTTTTTAATATTTGGAAATCAGCTTCAAATACGTTTTCACAACATTGCCCACGTGACGACGACGTGATCATATTTAAACGGAACGCTGATCTTATATAAAAATTTCAGTTATCTGTTTGGATTAGTTGTGCTCTTATGTCCATCGTCTTTTGTGTTAAATTTTTATATGTTCTAATGTTAATTATGTTTAAATGAAAATGTCCTGAAGATGGTCTTAAATAGACCGAAACGGCCGACGTCGACTTTATATTAACATTAATACAGCATAATTGCATGTTAAAATTTTTGTTTGTTTTTTCTGTATTTTTCTTCATATATATATATGTGTGTGTGTGTGTGTGTGTGTGTGTGTGAATATAAGATATTGCACATTAAGTGATGGTGTACTAAAATAGTGCTCGATGTAATATAACAGAGCTATTAAGTATATATCAATAGATATATATCTTATCCCGCACCGGTAGTATATCTCGATGCTTCATCTACAACGCAATATTCAGGTACACAGCAGAGACTAACCGTTACATAATTTAGATAGATAGTGAACAGAATGAGCACAATAAGAGTTTATATATGCACAAATATATATATATATATATATATATATATATATATATATATATAGATAGATAGATAGATAGATAGATAGATAGATAGATAATGAACAGCATGAGTATAGATAGATAATGAGCAGAATGAGAGTTTATATATGCACAAATATATATATATATATATATATATATATATATATATATATATATATATATATATATATATTCACATATGTCTTCTTCTACAGGTTAACTCTGAGAAATTTTTATATTTGTCGACATGGAAAACAAAAACACACACACACATATATAGATAGATAGATAGATAGATAGATAATGAACAGCATGAGTATAGATAAATAGATAATGAACAGAATCCATGTTATCCATGTTCCGCCGGATATTACCCACATTTCGAAACCACTCTACCAAGAAATGAAAAAAAAAGCTTATCGTTTTCTTCCATCTTTGAGGAAGTCATTTCAGGCCTTAAGCTCTCTAAACTTTTACACAACAACTCGTCATACGCTGTAATTCCAAAGCATTAAACTCTTAATTTTTCAGAATTTTTAGAAAAATTTATTAGGAAAGGATTCACGCAAATATTTGCCGTATACATGTGCAGGATATTTCATATAATATCTGTAATTTATTTTAGACGATATATCACTCTTGGAAATTGATAACCTTTTCAGGAATTTTACTAGATTTTTCCAAATCTCACACTATTAGCCTGGTTACTCAAAATTTTATGTTGCAATCAAAAATTATAATTAGAGGACGTGCGCAAATTTTAAAAAAGATGCCTATTTTCAATAAACATTGTAATGATATATTCATAAAAAGACAATCTATGTGAAATATGTGTTTCATGTTTTTAACACATTGTCAGCCAACCATGAGATGTTAATAGTTTTCATTGACACCGACTACAAGTTATCTCGTTTTTGGGGGTTTGCCATCAACCGCGTTATTTTTAAATATATGAGAAAGAATTATTGAAAATAACACATAAACGAATCATTTCAAACCTTTTTCATTCAACGCAAATAATTGGGACCAAACGTCTAAGGAAGAAATGGAAAATCATACTGGTCACTAAAAACAAACTTTTATGGGTTTATTGAAACGATAAGTCAATGAAATTACTTGAAACCTTTTTTATTGTCTAAGATGGCTATTATAGACTTGGCGTTTGAAATCGGATTTCGTAATTGACCTCTGGCAGCCATCTTACTTGGCATAGTAGTTAATCGTTGCCAGTGAGTGTTTACTGAGGCGTGGTTAACGGCCTTGTGCTGTAAGTGGAGCTATGATTCTCCTCATTTTAGATGGATGAAGCTGCTCAGCCTCGGGGATTCTATCTCTGCGGCAGCATCTTCCTCATCGCACTCAAGTGGTTGGATTGGTGCAATGCTAAGGCTAGCGTGACCGTGATCACGGGGGCTGGTTAAAAATCAATGTATGTCTTTGGCCCATATACATAAGTATGTGTTTGGCGCTCCCCGCCTTAAAACGACCTTGTGTCACATCCTGCCTTGGTAGTTAACTTGCGAAACAATTTTTAGACGTCGTTTATCCATTGACTCTGATTGAGGTGTTTTATATAAAACAGGCTTCACAGCATTCAGAATACCATACCAAACTTCATCTTTGCTAATAAATTACTATTCACCAATGTAAAACTTCCTTTTCAGTAAACTCAACAGGTTTTCAATCAAAGTTGGGCGAACAAGCTAGTCCATCATAAAATGAGTGACAATTGTCGTGCGTAATAATCATAAAACTGGCTAAACGTGTGCTTTCTGAAAACACATTTTAATCATGAGTTTTTATCTTAAGGCCATTTAGATCTCGCCATGGGCCCACTACTACACTACCTATAAATCCACCTAAAACATCACGCACCTCCGCTTTGTTGATATTTTACCTATCCCGTTTCCGCCACTAGCCATCTAGGCTTTGTTCCATTTGCCTGACTTAGAAGTGAATGAATCCTTCAGAGCTTAAAAAAGACGATACGTCATCAGACCAAAAAAATATTTTTAAAAATTACGAGCTTTAAGAAATAACAAAAACACATCACTTCTATACTTCAAAAAGAAGGAAAGATGATGATATATTTAATATATTTGATTCCCACACTACCTTAAAAACGGTTGGAAGAAGACTCCCACCATGACTAGAAGGCGCGATAACAGTTGGTGGACTTTAAAACTTTATTTTCCTTTAAAGCTCTTTAAAGAAAAAGCTTTTATAAACCTCAAATGACAGTAAAGCGAACTGGAAATGAATATTTCACTATTAGCTTTGCTATTCGTCTGTTAAAAGAACAGTTAAAAAATCGGTATTCATGTATTCCGTTCCGCATTTCAGTGGTTTTTCCTTGTAGATATCTTTAAAGCGGGTTTACTGATCAGTTTTATATTTTCGGTCGCTTCTACCAACAAAATCCATATCTTGACAAAAACGTTTTTTTGTAAAACTCCACTCTTGATAGGAAACACTGTTCACTAATAAAACAACCTCAACATAATCTTATTAGAACTTTAGAATTTTCCAACTTCATTTTCGTTTTCGCAACATATCAAGTCGGTAAATATAACTCTTTCCCACTCAACATTACGGCCAATTTTAAAGTTTCAAATTCTCAACGTTGCGATTAATTTGAGACTTCTAAATTCTATATAGTTCATACAAATGGCTGCCATTTCTTTATATATGCGCAGGACGAATCAGCTTTCGTCCTCAGTGCGCAGATAGACATGGCTATCAATCAGCAAATAAAATTTAATACTGATTTTATATACCGATGAAATATTAAGTGGCTTATAATTTGAGCCACAGTGTATATATATATATATATATATATATATATATATATATATATATATATATATATATATATATATATGTAAGCAAATGTAAATGGATATAGATCCGACAGAATGAAGAAAAATTTGGAAAAAACAAACAAAAATCCTTAAATGCAATTATGTTGTTTAAAATGAATGAAATGTCGACGTCTGACGTTTCGATTTAATAAACCTTTTTCAAGACAATATTCATTAAAATACAATTCAGTTCAATTTGACAAAGACGATGGACATAAACAACAAGTCTTATCCAAAACAGATAACTGAAAATTTTTAAAATGATCAGCTTTCCGTTTAGCATGGTCACGTTGTCGTCACATGGGCGACGCTTTCAAAATGTATTCCTAAAAATTTATGAAGCAGGTATAATATCCATCTCACGCACGGTGAATACTAGACCTGGTTTCTTTAATATTTCCCCTTTTTTAGCGAGATTAATGCTCGACAAGCATACACATAAAAATTTTAGATCCTAATAGAATTCTTTTCATTTTCTTTTTCATTCAAAATAATGAAAAATTTTTAGGAATACGTTTTGAAAGCGTCGCGAATGTGACGACAACGTGACCATGCTAAACGGAAAGCTGATCATTTCATTCATTTTAAACAAATATAATTGCATTTAAGGATTTTTGTTTGTTTTTTCCAAATTTTTTTCATCATATATATATATATATATATATATATATATATATATATATATATATATATATATATTC